AGGAAAGCACTGTGGCATGCCCAGTAGTGTCACTGGCCAAGAATGTGCACTCACTCCTCTGTACAGATGTGAAAAAAATACACAGTAATGGTGCACGCCACTGCTGTCTTGGACAAAGATCGATAGCTATCTCAAACACAAACTTTTAAGCAGTTCCTCAATAATTAAATATAGAATTACCATGTAATCCAGCACAAGAATTGAAAACAGAGAATTGAACACATATTATATACCCATATTCGCAGCAGCATTATTCACAACAGCCGAAAGGCGGAAGCAACTCAAGTGTCCATCAATGGATAAATGGGCACACAAAATGTGGCACACAATAGGATATTATTCAGACTTAAAAAAGAAAGGAAATTATGACACATGCTACAACATGGATAAACCTTGAAAACACGATGCTAAGTAAAATAAGCCAGTCAGAAGCACAAATATTGCATGATTCCACTTATATGAAGGACCTGGAGTAGTCAAACTCATAGAGACAAAAAACAGAATGGTGGTTGCCAGGAGTTGGGAACAGGGAGTTAGTATTCAACAGCTACTGAGTGTCTATTCGGGAAGACGAAAAAGCTCTGGAGATGGAAGGTGGTGATGACTGCACAACGCTGAATGTCCTTAATGACACTGAGCTGTACACTTAGAAATGGTTAAAATGGTAAATTTTATGTAATGTATATTTTACTACAATAAAATTTTAATATACTTTTTAATATTCTTTTTCAATATAAAGATATTTTCAAAATAAACAGCAAAACAAAAAATCCATAGCCCATTGGAAAGCAGAAACAAGGCTATGTCGTTACAGTAAAAATGGCAGAAGCATCAGCGAAACACGCTGCCCACCTGTGTGGCATTCTGGCATTCGGGCCAGCTGAAGTCTGGGTAAGAAGAAAGGCTGGGGCTGTGAGCCGAAGGGAGGATGCTCTGTAGCCACTCAAAGGTCCTTCCAAGTAACAGTGGCATGGCCCCTCCCTCCGCTGGCCCATCCCAAGTTCTTTCCTTGTGACTGGGTTCCTGGCTTCTGCATCCCCATCCTTACCGTACACACCACAGCTCTGCTCTGGCTCTAGGAAGCACACATATCTTGCCCCACACAAGTGGTTTGAGTGCAGAGCCCACAGATGCAGTAGTGTGGTGTAGTCATCAAAAGCACACTCTGGAAAGTCAGACAACTTGGGTTCAAATCCCAGGTTCATTACTCACTAATTCTGTGACCTTGAGAAAAATGGTTGCCACTTGAGACCTCACTTTCCGTATTTGGAAAATGGGAACAACAGCTCCCATCTCATAGAGTTGTTTGGATAAGTAGATCAGGTCTATTTATGGGATGAAATGCATCCCAATCACAGTGCTTGGCATCTAGTAAGCTCTCATAAACACCAGTTGTTTTTTAAAATCCTTCTCAGCACTTAACATAGGGCTGAGCACTAAACACCAAGTGGGGTTCAATAAATTTTCAGCATCAGCAGATGAGTATTCATTACCTGACATGCTCTCTACCCTGAGCTAGATGTCTGGAGAGTTAAGCTGTCTAAGGTACAGTCTCTACTCTTGTGAGTTCTATCTTATTCCTATTTGTGTCTCCAGCATCCCACACAATGCCTGGCTCACAGTTGACACCTAAAGTGGAACTGAACTTCTGAGATTAAAATCTTGTAGTGTGTTCATATGAATTTGAGGGGTTAAAAAAAAACAACAACACATGTAACTTTCAAAAAAAAAAAGTATGAAAAAGAAGCATGTGAGTAGGATCTTTTTACTTCTTAAAAGCAAAGAGAGCATCTTACATATAGTTAACCAGTGTTCTTTAATCTCCTGAAAGCTTTCATATGTAGCTTTCTCAAAAACAAACTCTAGGAATGCATTAAGATCCACATATTGTGGATGAATAAACTGAGGATCAGAGGGGTGAAATGACTTGTGCCAGACCACAAACACAAAAGGCTTTGGTGGGCTGTAAGTTCAGAAATGCTTCTATTTCAAGGGCCTATTTGTAGACTTGAGTAGGCAGGGGACATCCCCATTCTCCTGCCCACACACTTGCATCCCAAGCGAAACTTGTGGTCCAAGTGATGTTAGAAAGTCAGCATTTGTGTCACAAAGGCCCCTGAATTGCAAGTCACCTCTGAGTGGTTAAAAGGAAAAAAGCAATTGAACAAGCCCAGAAGGGCACAAGTCCAGAGCCACAGAAACACGAGTGACCTTGGCTTGAGGGCCCATACCTAGGGCCAGCTTTGAACTTACAAAGAGACATATAAACTTTTGAGTGTCTAGTTCCACTGTTTAGGGCGGCGGGGGGGGGGGGGGGGGGGGAGTAGGTAACAGAACTCACTATTAAACAGCCTCAGGGATAAAGTCCTAAAGTGAAAATAAGTCACAGAAAACACTCTCATGGTGACTTCCACAGGTGGCATCTATGCAGACTCAGCTGGGAGGGTTTTATCAGGAAACCAGGCTGATAATGGAAAATAGCACCACTTGGATAAAAGGCAAAAGACACTTAAGCATGAGTGGCTCCTAAAATTGAAAAGCTAACTCATTAAACTAAGCCTCTTTTTAAAAAAGTCGTTGGCAAAGGCTAAAACTAGCAGAAAAAAATATATTCTTACTTCTGAGCATAATAAGTGAGAACACATAGGAGTCACTTGGGTTCCTCACTTTAAAAATTGAAAGTCACTGGATGATTTCCAGACAGCATTCATTAGAAGCCAGCTATAGACCTCGCTGTGCATTCTAACTCCTTTCTACCCATTTCCACATCAATGTGCAGAGCACTGTCCAGGTACCATGGGGTGGAGGAAATTAGAATTAGGATTAATAAAAACCCCTCTTTTTTTTATCAAGAGCATAGAAGCTACTGTGAGGCCATGCCAGAAACCTTTGGGAGTCTAGATATTCCCCACTCTTCAAAAGTTCATATTATGCCACTTTTGGTAAAGTGGCATGGGGTAAGTAAGACTTATTGGCAAAAGATGGGGATTTCAGTCCAGACTCTACCCTTTCCTGGAAATGTAATCTTGAATAGCTCCATTTGGACCACACTTCACAGTGCCCAGCACAAAGCAGATACTCAATATATATTTGTGAAAGGAAGGAAGGCGGGCAAGCAGCCACCCATGGATTGGGTGCACTTATCTCTTTAAGACCTTTCTCATCGATAAAATGGTAATAATGTCTACTTTATACATCTCACAGGATCTTACACAAACAGTATCTGGTTAAAAATCATTAATAGGTTCAGATGGATGGACAGGTCAAATACAGACCCATTTAGATTAATCAAACAATATTTATTTATCTAAAGCAAAGGCTGACAAACGATAGCCCACAGGCTAAACCCAGACCACCACCTGTATTTGCATGGTCCATGAGATAAGAATGGTTTTTACAAATAAATATTTACAACCAATTTGATGGTAGGTACAACTAGCTTTTTACCCCAATTCAGCTAAATGTTAATCCCCCCCAAAAAAATAGAATTCATTCTTCTAAGTATTAGATCCTTAGTAGACCTGTGTTTAAAAAAAAAAGACAAGTATCTAATTACTGTTATTATATTTCTAATTTTGTCAAAAAAAAACATGTGCAAATTTGTTTCTCTTATAAAGTAGCTATGCAATATCTCAATTTTGCCTCTTGGCCCACAAAGTCTGACATAATAACTATCCAGCTCTTTACAGAAAAAAATTTGCCACTGCTGTTGCAAACAGTGTACAAGAAGTTAATTCAGTCAGGGACATAACAACAAAATTATTTTTCTCATCAGCCCCATTATTTTTAGAGTGCCATTTTGCAGAACATGGGGTTTTCACAAATGCATATTTTGCAATATAACAGAAAAACCTACACTGATGTCTGAATGAGTGACAGTCAGACCTTCCAGAAGCTCAACTACCTGCTTCTAGCCCAGGTTTGCACAGGCTGGGCCAGTCTGGGTCTGTGCTCATCTGGGCCAGGAACACATCGTTAATCTTGACAATATGTCTATGGAGTACAGTACAGTACCGAATACTCATTCATCACCCTCAGCCTTCCAGACTAACGCATCATGGCCCAGGTTCATTCTTGAACCTAGATCTGCAACATGAGAACAAAGGTCCATTACTCAGAAACTCTCTGGGGTCATAACAATAGTTCCTTAGACCAGCCATTAAGCTTATCCCACAAAACAAAAGTAGGTACCAAATCCATAAATTCTGAGTAAATCCTGGGAACAAGGGATTCTGCTCATAATCACAATAACAACAATAATATAAAATAAAACTCTATTAATAAAATGATCATTTAAAAACCACTTCAGAACACCTGCAGATAAAGATGCATAAGAAATGGACTTTGCCCTAAGCAAGAAATTAGGACCTATCAATCTCATGTAAAATCATAATAGACTAAACACAGAACTGCTCTAGTTAAAAGAGGACAGACGGGACCTTAGGACTCCAAGGTGGCCTCTAAATCACTTTCCTGGAAGCCTAACCTCCCATAAGTACAGAGTGTGAAAACCATAATAATAGACAACCAGGAGTTCTGGATTTCTGTGTCTTCCTCATCTGTAATATCCAGACAACAATAACAGCTATCTCAAAGGTTTGTGAGCATTAAATGAGATACAAACAAAAAAAATTTTTTACAGTGAGTAGCACATAGTAAGCACTCAGTAAATATTAGCTATTATTAGCTTTTTTATTAAATAGCTGTCATCACATTGTGTATACCATAAACATAACTATTCATTCCAATTACTTCCCTTAATTAGACTATAAGTATTCTCCATATTAGCACATACACTTCATCAGTATATTTTTAATTTAGTAGGTCATAAACGGCACTTTAGTTTTACTTTGATTTGGATTTATATGATAATTAGTGAGGGTAATTACTTTTGCATATATTCGTTTCTTAATTGTATTTTTTCCTTAAGTCTGTTCATGAGCCTTATTCAAGAACTCGATGAATTAATGTTGGTTCCAAGTGCGAACAAGCTTACTTACCTTCTGGGCTCCCTGTCTTAAGAATGCACTGGCGAAAGTTTCCAAAAGACAGTTGAGAAAGCCAGCCCCTGTGATTGAAATCCTGCCTCTTTGAACAAACTCGGTCCTGCAAAAAACAAAAATATACATCTTTGATGTAATTCTACATTTGGATATTTAAACCGCAGGGATTTCCAACTGCATAATTACCACTTATAATCAACACAAAATAATACCCACAGTAATTCAATAATTGGCTGTTACAATAAAAGATCTTGTTAAAAAAAGACTTATGATTTATATAATATAAGCTGTACACAATATTTTCCATCAATTAAATCTCAATAAACCTGGAAAGAAGAGAAAATATATTGGTGCATTATTCTAACAACTGCAGGACATAGAATTTCTAGTCATACCTAATAAATAATTCCATGACAGGAAAGTGAAAGACCTTTAAAAATTGCTCTATTTTACCCACAATGAACAAATTTAACTAATTCTAAGTAACTATATGTATCTATGTGTGTGTGCGTGTGTGTGTGTGTGTGTGTGTGTATAATTTCCAGTGTGTGTATGTACATATGAGCACATTCACTGACACTAAGAAAAATAGTCTGAGAAAATTATGGATCCAAAAAGCTATGATTTTGGTAAGAACAGTTATCATAACCTCTTAATTAGACTTTCTCTCTAATCCTCTATAATCAGTAGCATGATTTAGATCATGCACACAGAAAAATGAAGCCTTCAGAACACTTCTGTCTGTCTCCCCGCCGCGCCCCCCAACCCCCCTATACACAGAGTTATCCTAGCCAATCTGACAGTCTAAGCAAATAATCTAGGCAAAGCAGCTTCCATGTCTTAGATTTACACCTATTTAAAACGATTTGCTTGTGTAAAACATATCCTAGTGACACTAATCTTTCCTGTCTTTATTCCAGATTAGAGTAGAATTTAACAGTGGTTTTAATATTTAAAAATGAATAGTTGAGCAGTCTTAAACTCTTGGAAGAGGTGAACTCTTCAGTCCTCAAGGCAATTGTAAATGAGGAATTAATAAGTCTCTCTTACATCATATTCTAACCAATATTTATTTCTGCAACTTTTGGGAAAAGTAAGTGCTCACAAAAGCACTCTCAGGGTTTGCTCACATATCAGAGAATAACAGGACATTGAAGTGGGGTCATGGCCTTGCAGTCAACAAGATGAGAGTTTATCGTATTATGTTTTAAAACTGCCAGAGAAGAGAGAGGAGTAAAAGAGATCCAAGATGGTGGAATAGATAAACACTGTGCCTGTGTTCTTCCCTGAACACATTAAACTTACAACTAAATTATAGAACAATCAACCTGGAGAACCATCTGAAGTCTAGCTGAACAGAAGCCCTACAACTCAAAATATGAAGAACCACTTCCAGACCTGGTAAGAGGGGTAGAGACCCAGAAGGGGCCCCAAACCTCCGTGTGGCAGTTGAGAATCAGGAGGGATACCTCGGCCGTGAAGGAACAAGGGACCCCAGTTCCCCACACCAGTCTCCCCAGCCCGGAGTACTGGTTCCAGGAAGAGAAGCCCTCACAACATCTGGCTGTGAAAAACATTGGGGATTCCAACTGTTCAGGTGGGATGGAAGGCTGCGGGAAACCAAGATGTCTTTTTAAGAGGCCTGCGCACAGACTCACTCACTCACAGGCACTCACCTTGGGCTCCAGCGGAGAGGTGGTGACTCAGGGGACCTCGGAGACATATCAGGGGCAGACTGAGGTGGAAGACTGGAGGACAGTCAGCATTTTCCCGAACAGGGGTCTTCCTCCCGTGCAACTGGCAGGCAAATGCCCGCCATCTTTTCTATATTGAGCCCACCCCCACAGGCCAAATCTGAATGTGCTTGGCCTGGTGACCTCCACGGCTCCGCCCTGCCGACTCAGCTGGGACCCCATTCCACCCAGCTTGAGCCCCACCGGAAGCACTTTCTCTGTAAGCAGCAAGTCCCTTCCACAATGCACTCTTTCTTGGAAAACAATCGGAGTCCACAGGCCCCAGGTGTGCAACAACTGGCCTCGGTGTGCTCTGAGGCTGTTGCTGGGTCACTCCAGGTTCAGCACTGGCACCAAACCAGAGTCTACATTAACCTGGTGACCACAGCTATCCCCACTCTAGTGACTCCCTGAAACCCTGCCTCACCCAACTCATATACCACATGAGTGTTTATGAATAATTGAAACTTAAGGGAGCCAGTAGGTGGCAGCAGGCCTCCAGGCATCCTGGCTTTTTTTTTTTTTTAAGCTGAGTCATCCTGCCACTTGGTGGCAGCTCAGTGGCAGCTCAGCTCAGGCTGGGAATCGAACCAGTAACTGTGTTGCTCAGCGCTCGCACTCTTGAGCGAGCTCTTAACCAACTGAGCCACTCGGCTGGCCCCCATCCTGGCTTTTTGAGGAATTACCCCAGGCATGGTACTGGTGGCTGCCATCCTCAATCTGCAGCAATGGCCTCTCCCATGCACCTCCAGGTTCAGCACAGGCAGCGAACAACCACGGATCACTTTGTAGCTCCTACCAGATAGTCTCTGGCCAGTCACAGGCAGTGGATGACCTAGGCCTGCACCAGATCCCTTCCCAAGAGGCCCCAGAACCAACATACTTGGAGACCAGCTTCAGACCACAGAGAGCACTGCCCAATTAGCCCCATAAGCAGCACACACAAAGAGTGGTCTAAACAGGCATCAGAGCCCACTGGGGTGAATCCCACTCAGTGGGATAAGCCTCCCACACAGCAGCCATAAGTTGTGGATGTGACCAAATCCCACAGCCAGTCAGCTGAGGGCCAGTCCTACACACTAACATGCCAACAGCAATCAAGGCTCAGCTATATAACAGGAGGGCACACACAACCCACACAAGGGACACTCCTAGAGCACCCGGCTCAGGTGACAGGGAGACTGTGCCACTGGGCCCCATACGGCACTGACTATATAAGGCCACCTGGCCAAGACTGGTAGACTTAGCAGGTCTACCTAATACATAGAAAAAATACAGGCAGCCAAAAGGAGGAAACAGAGAAATATGTCCCAAATGAAAGAGCAGAAGAAAAATCCAGAAAAAGAATTAAATGAAATGGAAGTAACCAACCTACCAGAGACAGAGTTCAAAACAATGGTTATAAGGATGCTCAAGGAATTCAGTGAGAACTTCAACAAAGAGATGACAAGCATAACAAAAGGCATAGAAACCATAAGAAAGAACCAGTCAGAAGTGAAGAATACAATAACTAAAATGAAGAATGTACTAGAAGGAACCACCAGCAGACTAGACGAAGCAGAGAATCGGATCAGCAATTTGGGAGACAAGGTAGCAGAAAACACCCAATCAGAACAGCAAAAAGAAAAAATAATTAAAAAAAAATATATAAGGATAGTTTAAGAGACCTCTGGGACAACATCAAATGTAACAACATTCACATCACAGGGGTCCCAGAAGGAGCAGAGAGAAAGCAAGAATTTGAGAACCTATTTGAAGAAATAATGACTGAAAACTTTCCTAACCTAGCAAAGGAAATAGACATACAAGTCCAGGAAGTACAGAGAATTGCAAACAGGATAAACCCAAACAGGCCCACACCTAGACACATTATAAGTAAAATAGCAAAGGTTAAAGACAAAGAGAATCCTAAAAGCAGCAAGAGAAAGGCAACTAATAAATTATAAGGGAGCTCCCATAAGATTGCCAGCTGATTTCTCAACAGAAACTTTGCACGTCAGAAGAGACTGGCACAAAATACTCAATGTGATAAAAAGGGCCTACAACCAAGATTACTCTACCCAGCAAGGCTATCATTTAGAATCGAAGGACAAATAAAGAGCTTTCCAGACAAGAAAAAGCTAAAGGAGTTCATCACCACCAAACCAGTACTACAAGGAATATTAGAGGGACTTCTTTAAGATGGGGAAAAAAGATAAAAAGTATGACTAACACAATGGCAATAGCTACATATCTATCAACAATTAATTTCAATGTAAATGGATTAAATGGTCCACTCAAAAGACATAGGAGGGCTTAATGGATAAGAAAACAAAACCCTTACTTATGCTGCCTACAAGAGACACCAGATTGAAAGACACACAGATTGAAAGTAAAGGGATAGAGAAAGGTATTTCATGAAATTGGAAACAAACAAACAAACAAGCAAAAAAGCTGGAGTAGCAATATTTATGCCAGACAAAACGGACCATAAAACAAAGGCTATAACAAGAGACAAAGAAGGACCCAGTAATCCCACTTCTGGGTACTTATCCTAAGAAATCCAAAATATTACTTTGAGGGGATGTGTGCATCCATATGTTCACTGCAGCATTGTTTACAATGGCCAAGATGTGGAGGCAGCCAGGGTGTTTGTCTATGGAAGAATGGATAAAGAGGAGGTGGTACGTATATAAAATGGAATATTGCTCGGCCATGAAAGGTAATGTGTTCTTGCCATCTGCAGGGGCATGGATGGACGTGGAGGGTATTGTGCTGAGTGGAGTGTAAGACAGAGAAAGACAGATGCAATGTGATTCCGCTTATATGCGGTATCTAAAAACAAGATTAACAAACAAAACAGAAACAAACTCATAGATACAGAAAACATTTTGATGGTTCCCAGATGGGAGGGGAATTGGGGGTGTACGTGAAAAAAGGAGAAGCAATTAAGAAGTACAAATTAGTTTTTACAAAGTAGTTATGGGGATGTAGGGTATAGCATAAAGAAGTTAGTCAATAATATTGTAATAACTATGTATAGTGTCAGATAGGTACTTGTTGGGGTGATAAATGGCAGAGGGTTGGGGGCCAGGGTGAAAAGGTGAAGGGATTAAAAAGTACAAATTGGTAGTTACAATATAGTCATGGGGATGCAAAGTAAAGCACAGGGAATATAGCTAATGATATGGTAATAACTATGTATAGTGCCAGGTGGGTCTAGACTAGTCAGTCAGGGGATCATTACTTAAATTATATAAATGTCTAACCACTATGCTATATACCTGAAATTAATATAAAATAATACTGAATGTCAACTGCAATTGATAAATTTAAGGCGTGGGGGGCAACGAGGAGGGGAATAAGAGATCCAAATTTCCAGATATAAAAC